AACAGCCCGAAGCTGTTCTCCGGGCTGGGTGGGGTGTTTGCAGGTGGGAATTGTTCTCTGCTGCCAGTAACCACCCATGGAGAAGGGCAGTGCTGGTGAGCCAGCCCTGCCTGGAGCTGCCAAATGACATTGCCCAATGGGTCCTTGGCTGCTGCAGCCCAGAGAGGACCTTCCTCAGCACTCCATGGTCCCGCTGCTCCCAGCACCGTGCCGTGATGGCTTCGAAAGATGGACAGATCCAGTCCCTGGTGGCGAGCAGGGTCCTGTCCTGTCCTGTCCTGGGACTCTGCAACTGAGAGAGACACAGTCCCTGAGACCCGGAGGATCAGCTGCCAGGGCAGACAGCACTGCCCCACGCTGAAAGCAGAGAGGAGGCTCTATAAATGTCCCTGTCCCCTGCCCTGTCCTGGCTCTGGTGGCAGCTGGTGCCATCCCCAGCTGCAGCAGCAGTGGGGATCCAGCATCCCCTGGCACAGGCTGGGCAGCCCAGGCACCAACCCAGCACGCTCAGCCCTGCATCCCCAGCCACGCTGCCGCCTGTGCCAGTGGAGCGAGGGGGGATGAAATGCCTGGCTCAGCCCATCAGCTCCTGCACCTTCCCGCTCCCTGGCAAGCGGCTCTGCTGCAGCTGGGCTGGCCCTGGCAGTGCCGCTCCGCCCTGGAGCAGAGGAATGTCCATGTGCCCAACCGAGCTCCGAGCAGCCTGGCAGCCCCCTCTCCCCTCCACGCTGGCCTCACCTGGGACTCAGGCGCGTCTCTCTCTCTGCTCATAAACGGAGTGAAGCTTCTGAATGAGAAATCTTTTATCTTCCCCCTCCTGCAACAGCAGAGACAGTGCAGTGAGCAGCCGTGGGATGTGCTCTTGCACGTCCAAGGTGGCAGCACTGTCGGGGCCAGAGCCCGAATCCAGCAATCCCAGGGCTGGACCAGGGCATGGAGCAGCTGGGACTGCTGGGACCGGCCAGGGGCAGCGTGTGGAGCTCACGCACGTTGGCAATCTGCTCCTTGAGCAGGCGGATGATCCTCTGCTGGCCTCTAACCACCTGGATGTTGAAGTAGGTCACAGCTCTGCAACGACAGGCAGGATGGGAAGGTGGCAGCCGGGGCAGGAAGCTGGGGGATGCCACACTCCTGGCACCAGACCAGGGCACAGGGCTCTGGAGTGATGCCCCGGCTCAGGGCCGTGACAGGGACCCTCAAACCATGGGCGCAGGGCTCAGTCTCAGGTCTGTACTCACAGCAGGACTCCGGACAGGAAAAACAGGAGGAAGGTGTTCTCCACCACGTGCTGGAGGATCCACGTGAACCAGGTGATGTTTGGGTTGGACTTCTCTAGCACCTGTACCCAGGTCTTCCCTGACTTGTAGATGGTTTCCAGCCCTTGGAAGGGACCACAGGTTTCTGACGGCTGCACCCTGAGCAGACAGAGCGATGGGGTCGGTCGGAGCGATGAACAGCCCAGCTCAGCCCAGGGCGCTGCCTGGCTCAGATGTCCACCCCTCCAGGGACCGAGCTTGGCCTGCCCCAGCTATTGCCAATGGCTGGACGAGGGGGTCCTCATCCCCTTGTCCTGCATCAGCAACATCTGGGAACAGCTGGGAAAAGTGGGCACAGGCCAACCGTTGCTATGCTCCGTGCAATGGCCAGTGGCTGGGCAGCATCCCCCTGCCTGGGGTGGGGTTGCACAGCCCTGTGCTGGGTGCCATGTGCTCTGTGTGCCATCAGGGCTGGGGAGGGACAGTCTCCCCAGGTCCCTCTCCTTCACTGGCAGCCAGCAGTTCTGTGCTCCAAGCTGTGACCCAGCGGGTACTCACGACCAGATGGTGTAGGAGAGGAAGACGGCTGCACCCAGGAAGGAGGGGAAGCACAGCAGGGTGATGAAGATGGTGCTCATGTGAGATGCTTGCCAGGGCTTGCTGGGGGACTGGCAGTTCTGCATCAGGCTGGTCTGCAGACAGGAGCAGAGTCCCATGTGCTGCTGTCTCCTGGGACGTGGCCTCCATCCCAACATCCCATCCCTCCCACCCACTGGGAGCTGAACGAGCTTGGGGACACCCTGTCCCCAGCAACACCCCGTCCCTCCTGTGAGGACGGTGCTGCTCGCCGCACGGCGCGGCACTTCTGCAGCAGAACACAGCGTCGCTGCAGGGCTGCCCGTGGCGGGGACACATAGAGCTGGGGGGGACAACTCACACCTTTTTGATATAGAAGAGCAGCAGCAGCTTCAGCGTCTGCACGGCTGGCAGGAGCGGCGCAAAGAGAACACCTTTTTGATAAAGAAGGGCGGCAGCAGCTTCAGCGTCTGCACGGCTGGCAGGAGCGGCGCAAAGAGAACACCCAGCCTGGGAGAGACGGGGAAGAGCAGCTCGTTCCGGCTCTGAGCCCCGCGGGCGGCAGCGGTGGCAGAGCCGGGGGCAGCGGCAGGAGGGCACCGGCCCGGCTGCGGTCGGGCTTTCGTAAAGCAGAGCAAAGACATGATGCCCCGTGCCAGGTTCACTGCACAGCCCGTGCTGGGGCTGGGCAGCAGCTGGGATCTCACCAACCTGTGGGAAAACAGCAGCCCACACACAGATCCCTCCTCGGGCAGGGGGTGTGAGGCCAGGGGCTGCAGAAAGGCAGTGGGGGGTGACAAAGCAGGACCCGAGCGGCTGGGGCGGGGGGGGCCCCTCGGCGCAGGGAGTGCCGTTATGGGCTGGACAAACAAGAGGGGCTGCACTTGCACCGGAGCCTGTTCCTTCCCCAGAGCTCTGGAGGGGACCAGCTGGGCAGGGGTCACTGCACCAGTGCTGGGATGCTTTGCTGCTGGTCCCCTGTGGCCAAAGCCAGACCTCCCGGTGAGCGTGTGGGTCGTGGCTGTAAGGTGCTGGCACCAGGTGCTGTGACTGCCAGGGCACCCCACTCCCTCATCCCACCCATGTGGGGCTGGGGGGTCTCCCATGACCCCACTCAGTGAAAGAAGCAGCTCCCCATGACCGGTCCCTGCAGCCACAGGGCTCCCAGGGGACCACGAGGCGTTTGCCAGCAGAGGAACAAGCCGTGCCAGGCAGATGTCTCACCACGTCAGGGTCTGCCCGTAGATCAGCTCCAGCACGTTCCGGGCGATGTCAAACTCGGGCTTCTGCTTCCTCTTCAGCCTCTTCTCCAAGATCAGCCTGGGAAGAAGCAGAGCTCTGCTCCCACGCTGCTGCTGGGGGGGACACTTGGCATCTGTCCTCCCCTCAGACGGCGGCAGAGCCTGGGTGCACCGGGGGCCGTGCTGGGGACGATGTGCCAGTGGGGGGATCCCTCCCAGGGCATGTTACCTCCAGACCAGCTCCCCGAAGAGCATGTCCAGCAGGGTGAATATGAAATCCATCACCACGAAGCGATACAGGTCCTGCCCCACACATGTCTCCCAGCACTGGGGAGACAAGCAAAGGTGGCATCAAGTGGGCAACGAGGCTTCTGCTCCCCATGACTCTCCCATGGCTCCCATGGGGCATGAGGGGCTGTGGGACCTTTTCCTCCCCTGCACCCCTTTCTCCAGCCACCCCGCATTTGAGGTGCCCCCATCCAGCTGTTGCCCCCCCTCTCCCCAGCAAAGGAGCAGATGGTGCCTGCGGTGCTGTCTGGCAGACCCCCTCCCACCAGACCCCTGCCCCTGCTGGTGCCAGCGCCTTTGCTCTGCACTCCATGGGCAAGGGATGGTCTGGACGGTGTGGCCCACCCAGCTCACACGGGCACCGTGTGCTGAGCCCGGTCCCGCACGGCAATGCTGACCTCTTCTGCCGAGCAGACAACTCTCCGGCTGAGCCACTGGTAGCAGAGCAGACCAAGGACCACCATCTTCAGAATGAGGTTCCTGGGAAGCAGAAGCAGGGCCGGGGGCCCCTGAGCCCTGGGCATGGAGGGGCCAAGCCCTGCAGACAGGATGCCCAGCCCCGAAGCCATCCCCTGTGCAGGGGGGGTGCAGGACGCTCCCTCCGCCCCGGTCCCAGCCAGCCCACCTGCAGATTGCCACGTAGACCTGTGCCACGGGGGAGTCCTGCCTCTCCCACCGAGCCAGGAGGCTGTACAGGTGGGGCATCAGTGTGTTGAGGAACGACACCACGAAGGGCAGGACCAGTAGGATGGCTTCCTGCTGCCGCACGCCGCTGCCCCGCGCC